TAAGTTGAGAAGGACCAGCACCACATCCTCTTGTACCACTGAAGATTTTATCTTCCAGAATCTGGCAGTAAGTTTTGGTTCATTTTTAGTTCATCTCGAGATTTTTAATAATTATGCACACCTGAATATAAGGCGTTTTTCACTTCCAGCCTTCATGAACAATAATATATAGATTATAAGTGATTAAATACATGATTAATAGTAGTTCTAATTATTGGTCAAATGTGCTTGGAAAAAAATGTCAGGTGAGCAAGCTAGTGAAACGTTGCACGCGCAAAAGAGAAGGTCTGCACACATCCAAAAACGTATTTTAAATGCAAAATTGATTTCCGTGCGCTCGAAAGACTTTTTTCTTTGCGAAACGAACATTTTCTCCACAAACTCAAACTCAGATGGGCTTACATTTCTGCCATAATTCTGCGCGCGAAAGATCATATTTTGAGCGCACAAAAGTGCATTTTGCACGCTCAAAAAATGATCTTTCGCGCGCAGAATTATGGCAGAAATGTAAGCCCATACGGGTTTAGGTTACTCTCGCGAGAGGACATTTTGAAAAGTGGCGCTTCCGCGTTCACCGATATTCAACATGAGCGGTGTCTCATTTAGAAGGCTGTGTCCTCCGGAGGTCGCATTCGAAGGCTGCATACCTCATCGAGGCTGTCTCATTTCAGAAAAGCAAGTAGGACACTCCGAATGCGACCTTCTTTCACAGGAATTCGGAGGATGCATGAGGTGTATCCTTCGCTGCTACAGATAACCCACAATTCTTTGCGTCGCTGTAAACAACCGTTGTTAATTTGAAAAATGCCGGCGCCGGCAGATGTAATGTACACACAAGCGCAGATGTGGTGTTTACAACTTACTTTAAATTGCCTCGGTAAAAACGGATAAACTTTGTTTTTAATATCCTCCTCCTTTTTTTCTCCAACAGATGTCTGCTGTACGTACGCTGCAGCTCCTCAAACATTGAACAAAATAAAGCTTTTTTTTTTTCAAATTACTTTCCAAATTTAGAAATAAATTTCCTTCATTTAAGTAGTGTGAGAGCGCAACGATGCTCTAAATGTGTTGGCATAGCAACATGATACTTCCTGTTTCCTTTTCCGCCTGTCCTACGAAGGCCAATCAGACAAGAGTAACTGGAGAGTCAGCGGGAGGCTCATGTGATTGGCTACAAGAAGAAGGTGGCCCCGCCCTCCCCCTCACGCTTGCAAAACTCAGTTAGTGAGAGAACAGTGCCAAAATTGTCAGCGCAGAGAAAAGATAGACGGAGCTGTACATATCGGTTTATTTCGGGAACTTTTTGCCCCACATGCACAACAAGTCATTTAGACATTTGCAACAGTTAGTTTTTTACACATACAGATTGGTTCTATGCAGTCAATCCGTTTCGCAGTTCTTTAAACTGTTGTTTTCTCTTGCAAATCACTGTTCACAGGCTTGCAGTGCTTTCGACCGTCTTTTGGCGAAAAAAAAACCGTGCCAAAAGTGTAAGCGCGGAAAAATGGAAGTCAGAAGCATGCAGATCATATTTATTTTGCGTTAGCATGAAGCTGCAGTTTCACAATACATGAATTACACTTACGAGTAACAGTAAAATGCTGCAAATCATTTTTTCTTGCGCTTGAAACGCGATTTACACCTTCACAAAGCTTCTCTTGCGCATGCAAATGTAATTTACGCTTACAGTCTTATGTACACTTCCACAAATATTACCCTGCGTATGCAAATCTCATTGACGTCATTCTACCTTCATAGTATCCTCCGGAGGGTGAAGCCTTCTAAATGAGACACAGCTATAGGAAGTTCAAAAGCGATTTTCCGCAGGTGTCCTCCTTGTACTGTGTTCCATTTGGATATCTGAAATTATTGGGTGTTTTGGTTTTGTAAACCTATCCAATATCACTCATTCACACCAGTAGTCTGGCATGTAATTTGTATTTGTGTTTTAGTAACATCAACATGACTGCAGACAGTGATCTGGAGATTGAAGAGGCTTTCCGGATAGCACAGAAAGCTCATAACAAGGCCAAACTTGTTGCCAGTTTGAAGAAACGATATAATAAGGTGCGGGAGATTTACATATAATGATACACTACCATTCATAATTTCTTGGGGTCAGTTTTTAAAAATACTAATATATTTAAGAAAGATACATTACATTGATTACATTTTTACAAAAATCTTCAATTAAATGTTTTTTTTTTAAACTTCTGTCCATCTAAGAATACTGATAGAATGCATCACAGTTTCCACAAAAAACAACAACTTTTTATTCAACATTGATAATAAGCAATGTTTTTTGAGCACCAAATAAGATTGATTTTGTAATAAAGCAGTTTTAACAGATTTATGTTTGTGCTCCCCATAATACTATCTATATAATTTTGTAATTCTTTAAGTACAAAAGCATTAGAAAAAAAATAGATTTCTGATTGATAAATTTATCCGATTAATATGAAAGT